TCAATTGACAATCCAAAAAATGACCGCACTGAACACAAGCTTGTAAACACCGATTTATTTTCCCGCGTGTAAAATAAACACGTACGTGTCAATGCTCACGCCTGTGGTCTTGACGAGCCAACACCAATGGAAAATAGTGGTGGGAGGTGGGTGGTTGACATAATACCAACGCCAGAAGACACTGTATTTTCCCTCAAAAGTAACGAGAGGTGGGGATAGAGAGGTCTGTTAAAGCGATTGGGTGGCGAGTGGGGGGAGGGGGCCAAAGGGGGATGGAGAAGGGGTTGGTTGGAATATAGTGGGGCTAAGTGGCCAAGTGTCCTAACGCGGTCACGTCTCCCCCTCGTAAGGTTATGCAGACAAGCGTGTGTTACTAGCTTGGGTTATACCCAATTGGAGGTTAGTCCAGTCGTTGGTTAACGAATTGGCGTCTTGTGTGCGCACGGTGTGCGTGCTCCGATGATAGTAGTCGTCCTTTCCCGTGCAGTCTGCGCTTGGTTGAGTCTACAATATACCCCCCACCTCTTTTACCCACCCCCAAAAACCCACCACCGGGACGCCTACCACAACTGGTAGAGCCCAAGGTGCACGAAGAGACGGATTCGCGGATATATGCGATTTTAGTTCTCTCTCGGGTCAGTGGGAGGCGCGTGTCGCGCTCTTTCTTCCGTGGGGGGGGGAGGCTCAGGGGGTGGGAGATGAAGGAGGGGAGGAAACCGGGTGGGGGTGGTGCGCGGTTGGGGAGGAAAACTGGAGTAGCCCGCGTCGGAAAAAAAAGTTTTTTGATATTTTTTTTTTTTTATTGGTTTTAAAAATGGGGGGGAGGCGAAAGGGGGTCGGGGGTGGAACGGATTTTTTTGAGGATGAATGGGGAGGTTTGATTTGAGGAGTTTGATTCGAGAAAACAAGCGGCGAATTTTCATCCCAAGTTCGATTATTTTCCCACTCCAATTCTCATACTTCGCAATAATTTGATTTCAAATGAAACTTCAACTCACCCCCTCGGGTTTGTTTTCTGACGAATGCAATTACAGAGCCCATCCTCTATTCCCCTCCGTGGAGCTCTTGGATCGATAATTCATTACTATCCCCAATCCGGAAAGCAACCTAAGCACAAACAGTCGAGTTTAATTACAGCCAGCCCCAGCTCCAACGAAACTTCTCATAAATAGATGTGAGTGTCGAAATAACTCGGCAAATTATTGTGGAAAAATTGGAAAATACTGGTATCGCTCGCTGGAGGGTGTAGTAATTGATAAATTGGTTCAAACTATTATTTATCGTATTTTTATGTTGTTAACAACAAAGCATTCCAATTTACTTGCTTTATATTCCTTTATATACTCATTTAAATTTACATGTCCTTTCTAACTTGATTATAATTTGGGTTTGAATGGATTTGAATGAATCCCTATTTATGGATTCCCCTAAAAAAAAA